GGAGGCTATGTATCTCTTTCTCTTGTTTAATTGGGTTACACAAAACTATGTAGCTTATAAAATATATCCTTTGATACCAACAATGTCATTTCCTAGCCTGCTTTTAAACATTACACACAACATATCTGACCAGACTTGAAGAACAGACTTTTTATTTTTATTTTTTTACATAAATGTATGTTTCCACTGAAGTCCTTCAAGAAGCTTGGTCTGAGCTCTCTAGGCATGTGTTCTCTCCTTAACCAACCTCCCCAGCCTAACATCCTTCTCAGCCTGTTGCCACTGAGGAACAGTTTCCTCCTCAGATTTGCCTGTTAAGATATGAGACAACATGGATTAATTCTAATTAATTATAAGGATCTTTCTTTTAAAGCTATACTGGTTGTTACCATTTTTCAGACCTTTCTAGTTTTAGGGTAAAAGGACAAAAAACTGAATCAATGTGAATGTTGATTAAAGCTTTGTAGTTTGGAATCATGTGGAAATGTGAGGAAAATCCTTGACTTCTTGAGTTTCTTCTCATTTGCATAATGCTGATAATAAATTATTTTCAGGACTGTTGGCAAATTTAATAGGATGACACATGTTAGGAATAACTCGTGGTATATGATAAAATTGTTAGTAGAGAAAAAAATTCTCAGACATACGTGTGAAGTCAAGACTCCCTTTAGACATCTGACTGTAATCTGTTTTATTTCACAGTACTTTAAGTGTTTTCCTTATCTTTATTCTTCAATCATCCCAATCTGTTTTATTTTGTTTTATGCTTTTGTTTGTCTGTGTTTTTCTTGTTGTGGAGATTGTTTCATTTTGTTTTGTTTTGGTTTTGCTTTAGTTGGGAATAAGTTCATATTTTACCTTTTTTCTGGAACATAAAATTCCAAGGATATTTAACTGAATACTGAACTAAAAGTTATAAGAAGTTGCTGTTTATTCACTCCTTTAAAACAAAAGAACAAGGTGCAAAATAATTTTTGAAATGTCATCTCCTGTGCTGCAGGCTCCTTGGTGCCTCAGAAATCATAAAAGGGACAGATTTACAATCACTTTGGGCAATTTGCCTGTAGAATTCTAAGGACAGGAAATGGAAAAAAATGCAGCACCCATTCCCGGACATTCCACACAACACGTAGGATAAACAGATCCTAGAATACCAAACACTCTTCGTCTTATTTTGAGGGGTACTAGGAGTGGCCTTTGAGAGAGAATTTATGAAGTAGATGATACTCTGAAAAAAGAAATCCTTCAAAAAAGTGAAACTGACCCTGATTAAAGCGAATGCTTTTCCCTTTCTGTGTAAAGTCTGGTGAGGACTTTGAACGTAGCGAATTCTCTACCTGCGTGAGCATTATGAAACAGCAGCAACATATCCCAGGCCCGTGTTTCTCAAAGCTTAACAGGAATAAGAGGGAGATCTGATTCAGGAAACCTGGGAGAGATCTGTGATTCACAAGACCCTGGGTGATGCAAATGCTGGTCTCAGGACCACAGCTGGTGTTTAGTCATGGTAGTGGTGGTACTCTCATCTTTATCTGTTGAACAGCTGTTTTCAGTTGGGGATAATTTTGGCTCCACAGGATTATGGCAGTGTCTAGAAATATTTTTGATTGTCACAACTCAGAGAGTGCCACTGGTGGCCTATGAGTTGGGGCCATTGATGTTGTTAAACACCCCTCAATACAGGATAGCTCTTTATGATGAAAGAATATTCTGACCCAAGTTGTCAGTGGTGCCAAAGTTGAGGAGCCATACTGCAGACACAATATTTTGTGTGTTTCTCATGTTAAAAAAAAAGAAAGAAAGAAAGAAAGAAAGAAAGAAAGAAAGAAAGAAAGAAAACAGTCTGTTGTAATTGTTCAAAAAATTGAAAAAAATCCTGAGAGGAAAGGGTAGGAACAAATACTAGTTAGCTTGAAATAGAGGGTGAGCACTGTTTAAAGTGATCTTCTAATATACAAAAGACTATTATGCAGAAGACGCTAACCAGCTGTTCTCTATCACCCTTGAAGAATGAAGAGGAAATGTACATAAAAGGACCTGCTCTGTCCACTCATTCGTCTTCCTTCATGCCAGCCAGGAAACTCTCTTCATGATCTTACAGCCATATTTGTCCTGTCTGTCTTACTACTTATAGAGACCCTCCCAAATTCTGGGTAGAGATTTTCCTCCTCACTGCCAAATCCTATCTCTCCCTTACCTTAAAATTTTAATTTGAAAACTCTTCTTTCACTGAGGTGGAATAGTTGCTACTGCATCTCCTGCCACAGCTGGTCCCCTTCCCCCTTCAACTTGTTATCTTTCAAACTATAAACTTGTTACTGCCCATCTGTGTAAAAGGGATTGTGCTAGATTTTTGTAAAGGATAAAAAGATGAGAAAGACTGTCCCCAGTTTAAAGACTTTTCTAGTCTGGGGAAAAATCTCCCATGAATAATTATAATATACACAGCATTTAATAAATATCTCTATAAGAAATGTGTTCAAAAACCAAAGAGGCTTCAGGACTTAGAAGATTATTTCTTTCAAGGGGAGATAAAGGAAGATTATATAGATACATCTATAAAATGAAATTATCTGTTTCTTAAAGATATATTTATCTAAATTAGTTAAGAGTCCTGTGCATCAAATAAGCACTTATTGTTGTTTCTACAATTTGAAAGTTATGCGTTAGAGTAATCTAGATTTGGAGCATATTTATGAAAAAGTTTAGAGTGAATAAGGTTAAGAGGTTGGAGTTATTAAACATATTCAAACTATAGGACTAATCTATTGGGACTTTTTAAGAATCTGTGTGATTGGTCTTTAAAAAAAGAAATTGTGTTTAATCAACACTGAATATACTTATAATGTGGTATAATTGTAAAAGGCAGTGATCTTTTGGAAAAATTCTTAGTTATATCTATAAGAGAGAATATTTTTGAACTTAGAAGCATATTTTAAAGACTAGAACCAAATGAGAAAATCAGTACTACTCATCTGAGGGTATGATTTCAGAGCCTGTTTACATGGACACACACACACACACACACACACACACAAACACACATATAAAGTGTATTGAGTCCATTTAGTGTTGCTCGTGTACATGTTTTTAGAGTTGACCACTTGGAATTGGATAACCTCTCAGCGAGCTAGTCTCTGGAGAAAACTTATTCTTCTTCCTTCAGCTTCCTTTGATTGCCTGTAGCTCTTCGACTTAAGATGGGACCCCCACAAAAGTTCTGCTATCCACATTGGCATGTCAACTGGATTTTTTCGTTCTGCATATCTTGTTAAACTGGCATACTAGAGATTTCATTGATGCAGCTTCCATGTCATGTCTAGAATGCATTAACTAGCAGCAGGTGTCTTGTCCCTATGGCTCTTACGGCCTTTATGCCTCCTCCTCCATGGTGTTTTCTGAGCCTTAGGTGTAGGGATTGCATTTTAGCTGTATTAGGGCAAAGCACCTCTCAGTCACTTATTCTCTGAATTTTGACCAGTTGTAGAACTTTGTAATAGTCTCCAACTGTTGGGGGGGAAAAGGCTTCTTTGATGAGTGGTGAGAGTTATACCTTTCTGTGAATATAGGATTTGTATTTAGAATATAGTAAGAAATTACTTTGGTCTAGGGAAGTGACAGTAGTTTCTTCCCAATTAGACCACTGTTGATTACCCCAAGATAAAAGTGCTACTACTGTACCAGTAGAGATTATTTGCCGGGCTAGAGATTATTGTGCTTCGTAGACTTCATAGGTGGATAGGACCATTGGTTGGCTTTCTCCCCTGACAGCTTGTGTAGTGTCTTCTGATATGAGAGCTAGTCTTTGGAGAGGAGGCTGCCAAGTCAGTTCCTGCTCCATTGCTCCAAGTCCTGTCTCCAAAATATGTCCTATCTTCAGCAATAGGGTCTTACCTTCAAGTTCTAGGAGGCAATCAAGGGCTGTGGCAATAGTTTGTATTATTTTTGAAGTCTCTTAGTTTTCACTGACAAATAACTCAAAGGAAGGTTTCCTTTGTGTAGTACTGTGATTTTTTGTTAGAGACCCTTCAGCTAAACGAATACACTCACATATATATTATAAATATATGTTTTAGTACACTTGTAAAATAATACTTTTCCCTTTGATTTTTCACAGCACCTAAGCCTCTCTCTCTCTCTCACTCTCCCTCCCTCTCTCCCTCCCTCTGTTCCTCCCTCTGTTCCTCCCTCCCTATATTGCCCTCCTTCCTTCCTCTTCACTTAAAAGTACCCCATGCATTTTCCCCATTGGTCACATTTCTTAATATTTTTTTCTCTTACCTGAATTAGAAGGAAATGATTAGAATGAGCTCTCATTGAATATATAGTATGTAGCAGGCATTGACTAATGGGTATATTACCTAATTTAATCTAAAAACCAACTTGTGATGTTATTACAACCAACAATGTTTGAAGAAGGCTTTATTGTATTAGCTTAAACTTCCATCTACTGCTTGGTTCAGTAAGAGAAGTAGAACATATCTCAGGCCTGCAAAGGAAGCCAACTCTGGGTGAAAACAGTCAGCTTGCCTTTCCTTTAGACAGCAGTAAGGAGAAAGCTCTTGCCCATGAGGTTTAAATACAGCCACTTGCTTCTTTGTAGTTGAAGTAGGAAAATGAAGTTGTTTAAAAGCACTGATGGTCATGTTTTACTGTAGGGTTCACTACTGAGAAATTTCCTGGAACAGCATAAGTCATTTTGAGTTTCTGTGACTCTCACTCAATCCTAAAAATTTTACTTCTGGGAACCATATAGATTCTAAATATCCATGGAATTTTGTTTGACTGTTAACACTTTTGTTCTTTAATGCCATTATGTTGATGCTCAGCCATCAGCATAGTGTCAGAACCTTCCTTAAGGTTCTCATTCTCTGAGCTTCATTGTTCTTTTACTTAAGAGCGCAGATTTCAGATGTAACCTCAAGAATGTCTTTCATAGTTCAAAATATAATGAGATCTAGCTAACTTTGTGTAACTGGACTTTGTTTTCTCTCTTAAAGTTGTTCTAGGCATCTGCGAATCCTTCAATGTTAATGTGAAAAATTCCATGAATTTCAGTGGCCCAGTGGAGGACATGTTTGGATACACTGTTCAACAATACGAAAATGAAGAAGGAAAATGGTAAGCAGGCTCTGTTGTCTGGCTATTTTATACCGTAATGGAAAATATTTTGGGCTTTTTTTATTAATGAAACTTTAGCAGACTGAGTCATCTGTGCTAGAAAATGTCATCTAGTGGATTGGTAATGGAAACAGACTTGAAGAGAGAGAAGCATCATTTCTTAGAATTTAAGAGGAAGTGGTTACTGATTTCTGTTGGCTCCTGGATTGACCTCAAGGATGGCTGTTATCCGAAATAGTCATTATTCAGTAGCTCTTATTTTGGCAAAAATTTCTGGATTATTCTTATTTTAGAGTTACTTGAATACTTGACTTAAATTTGATAAGAAGCCCTGGGGGACAGAAGAGATGCTCTGAAAGGATTAATATTACTTCAGTAGTAGGGGACTTAGATTTTTGGTGCTTTACTGACCTAAGTGTTGTTGCCTAATGATCAGAGCGAGCTATATTGTGTTTTTGTTTTACATTTTAAACCTGTTAATCTTTGATTGATTAAGTTCATTTTACATAAAAAATTTTAGAGCATATTTAAGTCTTTTTTTAAAATTACACAAAATATTAGCAATCTTTTACTCTGCGTTTGACCTAATTGTAGTAAGTGCAGCTTTCCAAAATTGGATATCATAGAAAAGTATGAGTTAAAAGTTGCTTCCACCTAATAACTTTAAAGTCCGTTTTTCTAGAAAATATGATAAAAAAGATTTATATCTTATAGGATAACAGTCCACAATTGTTATTTCACAGATGGAAATATATGTTTTGCTTTCTTTTTTAAAGATATTAATTGGATAATAATCCTCTAAAGACTGTCAATTCCCATTAAATTATGGGAATATTTTATGGGAAGGGTATGTCACTCTTCTGTTCTCTCTTCGTGTCTCAGATGGGAAATCTAGTAATACCTCTATGAAGTTTTACATTCCCTGTCTATTCTACACTGACCCACACCCTTCCCATTTTGTCTTTAAGGCTAAACATAGGAAGTCATGCTGTTAAACACCAGAGCCCGACACCAATTTTACTCTTTTAGAACTTACACCTGTAGTTCCTGGAGCTCAATCCATGGGGGCTAGGGATGAGTGGACCAATGGCTAAGCTCCTCTTTGTTATTTTTTTCTTTGTTATCTTTCCATATTTTTCCTCACAAGGTTCCTCTGGCCCCTAGATAAAGAGCTCTAAGCAATCCATGACTGTTGAGAGGGAGAATCAGTTTCCTCCAGTCATTGAGCCCAAATCCAAGTGTTCAGCCTTAAACACACATACATAAGGGCAGTACTAAATGGAACTGGTGGGTTGTGTGATTATGTGTACATATGATACACAAATAATAATTATGGAAGTAAAAGTCATGAATTTAAGAGGAAGTAGTGAGGGATACAAGAAGAGATGGAAGAAGAAGGTATGAAAAATATAAATGCAGCACACATTTATGAAATTTTCAAAAAAAATTAAAAATTTAAATAAAAAGCTTAATTTTTCTATAAACACACTCAGAACTCAATTTTTACTCGTTACTAGTAAACAACTAAATCTAGTTTAGCATCCTGTTACCATCCATGAAAAACAACCACATAAAAATAAAGAGTGGCTCTCCTAGAAAAAGACTATTGCTTAGGGCCAGAGCTGGAAATAGATATCAAGTCTCTTCATCTTTTCTTTCATTAGTACTATGTTAAAAAGTAAATGCTGGTAATCATTTTTTGTAGTTAGTACTAGATTTTGTACATTAATATGTGTGTGAGAGCTTGTGAGCCCTTGAATGTATATGGATGCCAGCTCTGTTTCCACTGTGATATTTCATATTTGCAAAGATTCTATGGAAAAGTGGTTAAAAAAATCAGAGCAACCAAAGGATGTAACTAGCTGAATTTATATGTAATCAAACTTTCATCCCTAAATTCCCAAGCTTCTAAGTGTGGCATGATGGCTGACTCTGCCTCTAAAGAGATCCAGGTACTGATTACTGACATAGAAGCATGTTTGGATATCCTGCAAGTATTTGTAAAATCAGACAGTATACAGACTTACTCTGGAAGAAGCACTATGGAATAACTGACATACCAGGGAACATAGATTCTGCTGCTTAATTTTCTCTAGAGCTGAACATCTTCATCGAACATATTCGAATTTACTGCCCATCCCACTGGGATTTAAAAAAAATATTTATCCTGACTTATCTTACTTCACAGTAGCACCATGCCTAAAGAAAAGCAGCCTTATGTCCCCCTTTACCTTTCAGTCATTTACTGTCAAGTATAATTTACTTTGTGTCTTTTGCCCAGAAACCACATGTTTTCTTGGTAACAAAACACATCATACCTCTGATTAAGATCAGCGTTGCTCATCATGGTTAGCACAAGCTGCAGCGTCCAAGTAATTGCAACGTGGTTCAGAAGAATCCAGAAAGAACATAATTGGCTTAATAGCTTTGCTTTGATGGGAGGTAACTTAAATATGTTCAGTCCTACACAAAGCCTTCCAGATTTCCAGAGTCAGTGGTAGTCATCAGCAAGGCAATGTCTTAGGCACACAGGAAAATGCAAGATTTGGTTTGGTGCTTTCTACTCTCTCTTGGTCCTTTACTTCTTTCTGTGCCTTTTGTTTTGTTTTGTTTTTTGTTTTGTTTTGTTTTGTTTGAGATAGAGTCTCCTTATAGCTCCAGCTGCCCTGCAACTCACTATGGACACCCCTGCTGGCCTCAATCCCACAGAGATCTGCCTGCCTCTGCCTCCTGAGGGCTTGGATTAAAGGTGTGCAGGACCATGCGTGGCTTGTGCCTGATGTTTTAATGACTGTTCAGACCACCTTTCTCAGAGGCTTCCATGATATAATCTTCCTAAGTAGATTCTTAAGATGCAGGTAGATCCCTCCCCACCCAATCTTCAGCCCAATAGGCATCAAACTCTGCTGGCCTCTGTCTTTTTCCCTGGGGGGGGCGGGGTGCTCTGCTTTGTTCTAGGAAAGGGTATTGTGGCATATGTGGTTGGTATTCTAGTCTGTTTTCAATATGTGTATTTTTTAAATAAAACTTATTCAATTGGGAAGAAGAAAGCTTGCTAAAACTTTTCTATTATACATTCTAGTAAAATGTTTATTTTGCATTGCTTGTGCCATTTGAAACTGAATTTCCTCTTTGCCCAAATTGTCTATTGATTTGGCTCACTTCATTCCCAGTCTTCTGCCTTTCTGACCAAAGTCTTCGCAAGCAATGGGGTTGCAGTACAAGTTTCATACTCTAAGATAACTGAACACTTACTCCATTCATTAAAAAAACTTGCCTGACAAAGGATGTGTGGCAGTCTGAGAGTTGGCTTTGCTTGGTTCTACCAGACATCAATAAAGAGTTAGGTTAAAGGAGTGTTACTAAAATAACATAAATATGAAAAAACCCTCACCAGGATAGTGTCCTTAATAGGGATACAGAGCCCACCCACTCTTCAAAGAACTATGGTGATGGTCATAACAAGACTGACTGGTATTAGTAGCACCTTTTTCTCAGCTTACTAAGTTTTTATTATAACTGAGCATTTTCATGGAGAAAAGATGCCATTTCTGGCTTTAATGATCCTTGAATTATCAAGGATAATTTCTAGAGAAATTATCTCTAGAGATCAATATTGATACCAACAACATGTTTTATATTACCTTAATGTATAGACAATGCAAAATGCCTTTTTAAAAAAAAAAAATTCATCCTCAGGCCTCTTGGGGTAAGTCTAAAGTGCAGCCCTCCACGCCTTGACTCCCCAAGCCACATTCACCCTTCCATCTCCCCCCCTGTTCGCTACTCCCAGTTTGGGACCTGTGCCATTCCTAGTCTTGGGGCCCCAGACACCTGGGGAACCAATACAGCTTCCTGATCCTTCTCACCCAGACCAACTGAGTGCCTTTCTTGGGCCCCAGGAGCACCCCTTCTGGTCCTGGGCCCACACTCACCTCTCTCTGCGTCCCTGGACCTGCACCACCGGCTAACTCTCCTAGCCTGCACTCCTATCCTCAGGCCTCTTGGGGTAAGTCTAAAGTGCAGTCCTCCACGCCTTGACTCCCCAAGCCACATTCACCCTTCCATCTCCCCCCCTGTTCGCTACTCCTAGTTTGTGACCTGTGCCATTCCTAGACTTGGGGCCCCAGACACTGGGGGAACCAATACTGCTTCCTGACCCTTCTCACCCAGACCAACTTAGCGCCTTTCTTGGGCCCCAGGGGCACCGCTTCTGGACCTGGCCCCGCCCACATCTCCCTCTATTTCCCTGGTCCTGCAACATCTGCCAGCCTCTTTCTGGGGCTGACAGCCTCTTCCTGGGGCTCCGAGGCTTACCTTTCCTCTCCCTGATCCTTTGCATCCAGTACAACCCAG